TTTGCAATATGGTTCAATAATAATGCGAAAAATCACGTAAATTTTAATAAAAAATAATTATTTTGGTGTAAAACAAACGTTATCCGACCTGTGCGCAATATTGGATAACTTTGCGCGCCAATAAAAAAATCAGCGTTTATCATACAAAAAAAATACAAGGGTCCTTTTTTGTCGCAAATTTTATCCACAACAAGATGCATACGATAAAATTTGTCTCAAATAAATTCTAAGGTCTGAAAACAGCGAAAAACTAAGAATAGTCCAAAAAATCAAAATTTTTTGCTTACATAGCTACAAACTAAAGAAAAAGAGTCTAAAAAATCGGTTACACCATGAAAAGTATTCTTTGTAGTTCTCAGATGATGTGTAATTTTTGGGGTATTTTTAATTCCATTTTAAATAACAGAAAAAAATCACCGGCGCAACATAAAAAAAACGATGAAATCGAGGGTTTTCGGGATCCGAGTCTCGAACTTTGACGGCGCGTGCAAGCTAAACGATTCACTTGACGATAAATGTTGTTCAGATCATTATTGTAAATAATTTTACGCTCTACAAAAAAAGGTACGTATAGTTAGTTACCTTATCTTGCTTAATTTTCGAGATATTTGAGAAAAAATTAAAAAAATCGCGTTTTTTGTTGATAATATTGTTAATAACTTTTATTGCGCGTTAATTTTGCAAAGCAAAATAAATCCCACTTATAGCACCTCAAATCAAAGCAATTCATGGTGGTTGTAACCTGGAAAGATTAATTGAAAGGTTAACCCCCTAAATTAGTTTAATATGACTGGCCTATTGTAGATAAAATACAAAAAAATTTGTATTTTGTTTACAGACAGAATAATGACTCTGGATACGCAGATGGTGAATCCTGCCTTAGAATCTTTATCCTATGCGCATCCACAAGTGACTGTATCATCTCAAACTTCGATACCTCCGAATCCCGCAAATATGGAACCTTTGCCGCCTGGTGTGGACTTACCAGATACGTCTTACGAAGCTGCCACTCTGAAAGGGATAATATATAATGCGGCGTCACAGCCAAGCAATGCGATTTACGCGCCTTCGATTGCTGATCCAACGATACCTATCCTAAGCCATCAAGCGGGTCTGCTCCAGGAACCATTTGTTCATTATCCAACTTTTCATCAACATTTGCATAATGTAAGTACACTTCTGTGTTTGAATGTTAATAAATAGATATAGTATGTATTCCTAGTATGCTAAAGAGTGCATAAAGAGATACGATGGTATATATATCTAGCGCATGTCAAATATAAATACATGAAGAAATTACATTAATAAATGTATATTAAATATATTTTCTTATCCAATAAAAATATAGCAAACATAATATAAGAAATAATATAAGAAATAAAAATAATTATAGAATGTATATAATTTCAAAAAGTTTGTATCCATGAAAGCTTTATGCAGGTACATGTAATTTATGTATCTGTGTTGTTAGCAGACAATTGCAGTTGCAAACAAACACGGTGGACAGAGTGCAATTCAGTTCATGGTGGGATATGCACCGATTTATACGAATAATAAAATCATCGCCAAGCCACCGGTCAAGTCCTCGAAGGAATCTTTGGGATCTGCCCTCGATTCCTTTTACAACGATATTGCGCGTATTGAGAAGACGGAAACGGAACGAACAGGACAGCATCAGGATGTCACTGCTACGGTAATGGAGCAAGTATCTATTCCGACCGAAGAAACAAAACCGGAAATAGAACTGGAAACTGTGTCCAGCGATACGACGACGAAGGAACGGAAGAAGAAGAAGGTGGCACTTTTACTCATCGTATTTATCTCTTTTGATATCATTTTCTTGTCATAAAAACAGTAAAATTTTATATAAAAAGTGAATTTTTCAACATTCCAATTCTTTATATGTTAGATTAAACTTATAAGGAAACACCACGGAAGTGTCCCCCTTCAATTTTGAGCTTTTAATTTGTTTTGTGATTAAAAAATTTCAAAATTCTGAAAAATGTTTAGTGGTAAAGGTATTTAAAAAATTTTTTTGTCATTGTTTTTAAAGTATTTTTCAAATCATTCAACTTTTATTTAAACAATTTTTTTTCTATCTTTATAGTTCCGGAGATATTTGCCCCGACAGAGAAAATCCGATTTTTTCCTAAGGGTTTTATTCTCTAAACATGCGACTGGGCACGTATAAAAAAATACGTATCCCTTATTTTTATCTAGGAAACAAGATATTAAAAGCTCATCAAAATCGAAGGGGTACAGTTCCGTGTATTTTCTTGTTAATAATTTTTGGACATGAAAGTTACATACTTCGACTTGCAATGAAATAAATATTTGCTTTTTATTTTATTTTTCATAATAAAAAAAGTTTTCAGAAATTTCTCCAAGTATATACATTTCATTAGTATTGAAAAAGTCACGCTAAACATATATTAATCAAATAAACGTATATTAATGAAATATTTGACACTTGATGTAATTCTAGGCAAGGATCAGCAACAGCAAGAAACATAAGGAGATGTCAAGCATGGTGGCGAAGTGGCAAAGGGTACAAAAGAATCTAGAGGACACTGTATAAATAATAGAAAGCGATTGAAATAAAATAATTAATTGCTGTACTGATGTTGCATAGACTGTGTTATTAGTATCTTTAGATTTCATTGTACATATGCATTGTTAAATATCTTTTCTATTGTGAACCATTTTAAGTTTTTATTCATAATCCGATACGTATATATTTGTTGCAAGAGTATTACAGCAATATTATTTGTATTATTGAACGTAGTACTTATCTTTCGTGCGATATTATGATGAAGTTATTATATATCTTATAATTCATTGTGAATTTTGTGATAATTTTTATGCACAGTAGAATCAAATGATGTATTATGATTATTATTATTAGTTTTGCACATTTATATAGTCAAAAATATGAGTACATCTTTATAATTTGATGTGTTCTTTCAATGTCAAGAGGTACTGTTTCATTGAATTAACACAAATTATTTTTACACATACGCTAAGCTCGATTACAGAATGTGAATAATGAAATCATACTTTATAGGCTTTATTGCAAATAAGAGAAGATGGAGTAGAAATAAAAAACATGATATTTGATATTACTGTCGTTTTATTTCAACTCTCGTTTAACAAGGTTGGGTTGAATCCAAATGGAGTCATATCCTGGTGCTTCTCTGCGTATGAGCTGCTAAAGCATAGCATGGTGTAATTTTGTTAGTCTTTCAACCCAGTCTTTCCGCAGCGACTATTAGCGTAGGATAAGTGGGATTATTCTATCTTGTCCGAAATAAGGCCTAATTTCTCCTCCCGGCTTGCTCTTCTCTTCTGGTCGAATTAATCTGACTTACCTTGTTATTTACATCATTTTTCCTCGATTATTTTTTAATTTAATTTTATTATTTCTTGACAAAGTATTTGTCATAAATTAACAATAATAATAATTTAAAGTTATTTTTTGATCAATTAAAGGAGAAAAACAGATAACTTTTATTTTATTATTTTTTTAAATAATTGGGTACGATTTTTTTCGTTTTGTTTACATTTTATTTTATATATTATGTTTATGTTTTATTGAACACTTTAAAGATTGATATTGAAAAGTTCTTAATAATTTCTTATGTGATAATTGCGTGATATCAGAATTACTATAAAAAAGTATATTTTTAGGTTTTATTTCTTTTGTTTATTCTATTTACATTTTTTTAGTTTGAAAAATAAAATTTTTTTGAACAAAGTTTCCAGGTAGCATATCTATGTCAAAATGACGTCAAAAACGTTTTAATGACATTGTATAAAACAGTTATGTAATATTGTGATCTTCAAGTCATTTTATAAATATTTTTTTTGTAATATAATTGAAAATATAAGAATGTCAACAGTTTTTAAGTATAGAACATTACAAACAAATTTGTATTATAATTTACAAAATTAACTTTTTATTACCAGTTACATGTAAGTGCCAAGTTATCCGATAGATGGCATCCGATGGAATCCGTTTCTCGTATTTAAAATACAATACGACCAACGATGGTATAAGAACGACGATGATATAAAGGACGGAATCGCACAACTTATATCAAGTTGTATTATGTGTGTGGGAGTCCACTTCTATAATAAATATAAAATGTAGTACACTTTTGGATCGTATTGATGTAACGATGTTAACTTTGACGTTATTTTGACATATGCTAGCTGGGTTGTTCTCTTTTTCTTTTTCTTTATTTCCTCAGGACATATTATTTTTTCTTAACCTTTAGAGGCTGAGAAAAGGACTTGAAGACTTTTTTTTTTTATTACTATTTTTCCCTTATTCAACACACAAATTTTGCCTGAAAACATCAAGGCTGGATTCGGGGAGCGCGCTATTAGCGCTATTTGCTTATTCTATCCTTGTTTTACACCTGATGAGCGATAAAGATAGAATGATGCAATAGCGCTAATAGCGCGCTCCCCGAATGCAGCCCAAATAGCCTGTGTTTTTTGGGTGGTCGATATTTCGACCATCCTCGGAATCTAAAGGTTAAAAAAAAACTATGTTTCTAAAAGATTAATTTTTAAGTTTTATTAGCAGCTTTAAATTATTAAATAATTTTAAATAATTATTTTTACACAATTTTTGGGATATATTTAAATATTTAATATTTTGCGCGCGCGCACACATACGTACACACACACGCACGAACGCACGTACACACACATACGCACACGCATGTACGCACGCACGCATTCTACCCAGGAAAAAAGATGGTAAATGTTTACAATTAGGGCCCCACCTCCGATGACCTAGACCTTGACATATGTCGTCAAGGTCACCCTCCTGAGTGACCTTCAGAAGATTTTAGTCGGGGGTCGCTTCTTATTAAAAAGTTATAAACAAAAAAAGTTTCGAAAATATAGCAGTTATTTTAAGTACTGAGAGGCATAAACGACTAATATTACGTTTTTCTTTAAAGCAGAGAATACTTTATTTCGCGAGAAAGTCGCTGCTTTACCAAAACATAACATTTAAAGTAGTAAATTGTTGATAAATTGAAGTCTTTTTGTTAAAGCAGAGAATAATACTTACATGGGTTAGATGACGCGCTTTAAACAATTGAATACTTTTAAAACGCGTCATCTAACCCATGTGGCATCTCGCATATCAAGAGACACGGTAGTATCTCGCGCCAAGTACACGCGGAGCGGGACCGACCGTGAAGGCTCCCACAGACCGAACGCGTCAAGCGTCAAGCAGCGAGCAGCAACCCAATTGAACCCAAAATCAGTGAGGTGATATCAGCAGTGGCGTAGAAAATATCGTCTCGCTGATTGGTTACTGCTCGCTGCTTGACGCTTGACGCGTTCGGTCTGTGGGAGCCTTGACTCTTTTACGCGACGCGACGGGTTGCGAGTACCCGAGATGTTGAGATCTCGATAACGAGTGAACGGATCAAGTTCTAAGTAGGCTTGATCGATAGCTTGGAGTCCAATTAGGGGGGGGGTTTCTCTTATAATATTCCGCTACGTGCCCTACGAGCGGAGATATTGCGACGCAAAGTCCAAATATGAAAATTTATTTTTAAGATACTCCTCCTCCTGCTCCTCCTAACGCCACGACATATCTATCAGAGAAACGTCACTTTCACTTTTTCGCCGCTGGCGGCGCAGGTATCGCCAGTTTCGATATCGCGCGCGTATTTCGAAATTAGGTCGATAGACTTATCGGTCAGGAGGAAGATTTCTATTTAGGCAAATTAGGTATATACTTATATAATATATATTGAGTCAATTGCTTCATGTTTATCTGGAAAGATTTCGTAACCTCTATGAAGTTGGCCGGACAACTTCAACGTATCGAACTTTCATTAATTGGATTGATCGATTGGTGGTCGTTTGGTGGTCTTTGGTAGTCTAGTCCGATCGT